CTAGCACCCCCTCCAGTGGGCAGATGTTGGAGGACCAGCTCAGGAGGACAGGGTCAGGGCCAAAGGGCCCCCCACACACAGGTCCCGTGTCCAGGCCTCCGGACTGGAGTCTCCACCCTTGCTCATAAGAAAGCCCGTTCATCTGCAAGCAGGTGGCAAATAACATGACAATATTTAACTCTGAACAGCATGGTTCAGAAGTACAGAACTCTCCGTCAAATGTGAATGGCAAATGGCAACAGATGCCAATGAAAAGAATATTTTTTAAATTTTAATTAACAATACATATTTAATACTTCTCAACACATATACTGGATCCATCAGCACAAGCAGTTTTTAATATGCAAAAGGGTGTACGAGACATGGCAGTATATGACATTCTGCAGTATTACCTGACGTGTCAGCCCACTGGCAAGTTTAGTGCATCTTTCCCAGACCACATCCAAGTAAAACAAACGTGCCAAATAAACGAGACGAGAACGGGCAGCATATTCTTGCAGGTGGCGGGGTGGGCAAAGACAATGGCACCAGGCTCCCGCCCACCTCCTCAGACCACACTCCCCGCCCAGCCTCTGTGCCAGCAGTGCCAGACCGCGGCCAGTCGACAACGCCTCTACTCCTCGGTTCCAAGGACAGCCGTGACACTGTGGGGCTTAGCCTTGGGTCTGGGACCCAGCAAGAGCCCAAATGGCAGCTGTATTGTGTTTATTGCCATGATTACATCATCTAACTGTTTCCCTTCCCCCTCGAGGACAAAGGCAGGACCAATGGAGACAAACAGGTGGTGCTTTCTCAACAGAGGTGCCACTTAGCTATATTCCCGAAAATGTGCCTGGGCAGGTCTCACCCCCTCCTGCTCTTCGGGCTGAGGCACGAACAGGCTCAGAGAGGATGCTCCATAACGCAAAGTGGGCCTTCACACAGGGAGTGAGAGAGCCCATTTCCAAGTCAGAGCAGGCAGCAAGGCTGGGAGGCCACACGCTGCCTTCAACAGGCAACACTGGTCACCGAGACAGGCCTGCGGAGTGGCGGGCTCGCTCCTGCCTGCGCTCCAGGGGAGGGCTCAGAGGGAACTGGGCTCCTGCCTGCAGCTCTTGGCCGTACATCGGGCTTTGTGGACGCGCCAGCCAGGACCTGCCTCAGCTGTGAAGAGTCCTTACAACCCGGGACAAGTCATCAACCTGCCTGACTTTCCGAGGAAAGCTCTGGGCCAGGCTGTCTCCAGGGCCCTTCCCAGCATCTGAAGTCTACACACAGCCCAGCTCGCAGCTGCGCGTCACCTTCCCACTGAACGGAACATGCGAGGCTATGAAAAAACCCACGGAAGAACACACGTGGCCCTTTTGGAGCCTCACAGCATGTTGCGTCACTACACTGCTTTTCTTAGCTCTTAGATGAAACATTATAGACTGAGTCAACTTAAATTAGTGGCATAAGAACAGCTCGTTTCACTACTAATTCATGCTCTCCTTCTAAACACCCACCTGCAAAAGTTTCAACTTAGACAATCAACTGCTTTACTCCTTAAAAAACAAAAAATGCAAAAAACACCACCAAACATGCGAAATCAAATGAGACCCTGCACACAGCCGCTGCAGGACGGCCTGCTTCCACGAGGAAACAGGCAACCACGGCCTTAAAATGTTGCAAAGAGCTGCCCACAGGCGGCTCCGTCTCAGAGACCCAGGGTGTTCACCGACCCTGCGCCCAGGAGCAGAGAGGGCAGTGGTGAGCTATGGTGGGAGAAAGCACTGGAAGCAGAAGGGGCTGGTTACGGGGACTGACTTCTAGACAAGACGACTGGAGGAGACGTAGGCTGATGTGCAGAGCAACACCCGCCCGCCTAAGCCCACCAAGGAGCGGCTGTCCATGGTCTGCAGCAGCTGGCAGCTGCCCGCCATGCAGCGCAGGGTGCATGGGCAGTGGCTCAGGGGGGGAGGCACCAGGAGCAGTGCCAGCCTTGCAGCAAGCAACACAGCACATGCCAGGACACCCCTGTGCTCCCCATGCCTGTCCCCACGGGACACACAGGAACGTGCAATAGAGAAAAGCAACATTCGGGACATATGGACGGTCTGAAAAAGAGCGTGCCATGTGGGGAAACGCAGTGAGCACCTGCACTGGTAGGAGGGTTTCACTTGAGTCTCTGGGCACTTTGAGTCCATGTTTCTGTATTCTAAAACAAGGCTCTCCGCGAGTGACTGACCACGGGCCTCTGGGCGTCAGCGATCCCCGGGAACCAAGGCATCTTCAAACCCGTTCTGATGCCAAAGGAAACCGTGACACTGCCTGCTGCGGTGGTTCTTGCCAAAAAGTTTAAAACAAAAATGAACATTGAACAACAAAACAACAAAAACTGAAGGCTCTGAGTAACTCTCTCATCAGGAAAGGGTGTTTTCTATGCTCTTTACGATAATTTTAATAAGCAACCAAGATGCCAGGTGCTGGGAAATACGTTACCTGAGGTCCCTGCCCTTCCCCAGGACACGAGGGGGACCACACGGCCCAGGGACAGAGCAACGTGGTTTCACGAAGCCACATAAGCCTGCACATCCTTCCCTTCACCTTATGGGACACAGACCCTCACCATTTCCCAGTCCCTCCGGGCTTTTCTCCCATTAGTATTCTCTTTAACACTCTGTCTCTTTTCTAATTATCCTCCCACTAATCTGTGGTTAGCTGTTTTACATTTTTGGTTCTAAATACTTGGACGCTTATGATATACAAAAACAAATCCACGTTCACTTTGGTGGTTGGCACCAGTTACTGTAAAAGTTTCCGTGTTAGGTGGGCAATACATTGGCAGAGCATTTCTCCTGTGAACGAGCTCACAGGACAGAATCCTAAATCATCACCTGATATGCAATGCACGTCTACACAACAGTGGGTTATACAACAGGGAACGAAAGGAAATACAACTCTGAGACCGCAGAGTACCTGTCTTAACGTGGAAGAGATCATTTGCTGAAGCTGAAAGTTTAAATGAAAATGAGATCAAGTAATGAAGCCCTGCTTTTAAATGTATCAAGCACAGAGCTGAAATGTGGGCTAGAAGAGCTGTGACTAGTAGCCACATATCTTTCTTAGTTCAAAGTAAAACTGTCTTAATTTTTATAAGGAAATCCAGTCCTAGCTGGTTTGGCTCAGTGGATAGAGCGACGGCCTATGGACTGAAGGAAATCCAGTTTTTTAATTAACAGTTATAACACCCTAATGAGGGTTAGAAATTGCCAAGGTCCTTTTCATATATTTGTTAGGCAAAAATAAACAAGTAAAGAAATCACATTGAGATATCTTACTCTTCTTACATGTTACATACAAACTGTCATTGAGGAGTGGTGTGGCCTTCTTTTCTTTTTTGACACAAAGAACTGGTTGCTTAGAGAGTGACTCAGTTTACACAGTTTGCTTAAGCGACTTGCAAGAAGATTAACAGTAGTTTCCTATTCTTGAAGAACATTCAACCCAGGAAAACAAACTTCTTCTAAGACAGATGCACCCTAACGATTCGTATCTCCTCTTACATGGTTTATAAAATGCACAGAACACGTGAGCATCTGGTGAGCCAGGCAGCGTGTGCAAGCATGCTCACTCCATCTCCTCCCCGGCACGTCGGGCCGGGCACCTGCCGAAAGGCTGGTCTTTTCTGGACCCCCTGCCCCGGGGCAGCTTGTACTGATAACAGCAGGGAGCCACCTGCCCATGCAACGCGATTTTGGTTATATATGTGTATAAACACTGAGCAGACAGACACAATGACTTATAGACACAGAAGCATTCTGAGTGATGAGATCATAGGTGATTTTTTTAATCTTCCCCCTTTTTAAAACAAACAAACAAGTATGCCCGTCTAAAATGCATGACTGTCTAGGATGCAGGCACTTCAGAGATAGCGATTCTGAGAAAGCTGCGTGCAGAAACCTGTCATACAAAGAAACCCTGCGTGACAAAGATGACTACAACAGTGCTCGCGGCAGCCACAGTGTGTGTTCGCTGTGGACAAAAGCGGCACCAAAGTAAAAATCAATTTACGAGAAAAGAGATATGCGCCCGGGACTTGCAGATCCTGCGTCATTTAATGAATGGCTCCCACTCACCTGAATCGGAAGGAACCGGGCGACGTCATTAGTGACTCCATGGGGGAGGGAGAGCAATGCTCAGCGGAGGAGCTGGCCCTGGCGTTGGAGGGGCCACAGCAAGTGCGGCAACCCAGCCGGCTGCGGGTGTGGACGCCGGGCTAACTGGTTCACAGAATCAATGCCCAGCAGCGCCACCCCCACCCCAGGCGAGCGGAGCCCAGGCCCCGCAGGACCAGCAGCAGGCTGCAGCCAGGCACGCCGGTCGGTCGGAATCCCACCGCCACTTCCTGCGTGCTCCTGGGCACAGCACTGAACTCTGAGTCTCAACTTTTTTTCACATGAAAAGTGATTATGTTCCTCTTAGGGTTATTGTGAAGATTAAACAAAAATGTATGTGGCACCCAGCACAGTATCTGGCAAAATCAGAGAGAAATCATTATTACTGGTCACGCTGGAAAAATGCATATACAATCAGTTCGGGAGTCTCGATTTGAATTTTTGTGCTGTGTTAGCTTTCATTTGGCTTCAGGGTGTGTGGGCCACACTTCTACAGGGAACGTGGGCTGGGGAGCCTGGGAGCCTGGGCTCTGGCTGGCTCAGGGCCTCGGGGCTTCCTGCCAGGGAGGGCCATGGTGACAGCTCTCCACAGTGGGCAGGGACCCCTGGGCCAAAACAAACACTGAAAGCCTGGCTGGGCCCACCACAGCTGCTCCGAGTGTAGGGTCTCTACGGCAGGCCTCAGGAAAATCATTTGTATAGACGCCCAAAAGCCAAGAAGCCACTTAAACATAGGAAGTACATTACGACAACAATCTAAATGTTGTGTCTCCTGAAGTTGGGATTCATTCACTCAATGGCCTGCCCTCACCTCCAACTCAAGCAGGTCTGTGCTCAGGGCCCGGTGTCTCGTCCTGCTTCCTTCAATCTCAGTCATCCTGCTGGTCACTCATTCAGGCTTCACTTGCTTAGAGCACCATCCCGATACGCCAAGGCTGTGGGCTCGATGCCCAGTCAAGACACATACAAGAAGCAACCAATGAATGCATAAGCCAGCAGGATCGGAATCCTGCCATCCACCCTGAAGGTGGGCTCCTCTCCCCACCAGGGGGAAGCCTTTGCGGGGGGCTCTTTTTTCAAATGCCATCAGGCCTCGTGGTCAGGGCCTTCCCCGTATGGTGCACCCCAGTCACTCAGGACTCCCCAACGTCCCCCTGCATGCCAGTCAGCAGGCTCCATGTCCTTCAGGGTCTCATGTGTGTTCTGCTCCTGCAATTAAAGCCCCACCTCCTCGTCAAGTCTCGACTCAGCCCAAGTAGTCTTTACGTGATGAACGCATTCGAGGCTCACCAATCTCACGGGACAAGTGTCCCTTAACCGCTTCACAGAGGCTCAGCTCTCAACAGCTGCCAAAGCCGCTCGTCTGGTAAGCGGCCACGCCTGGATCTGAACGTGGGTGCCCCCGCCGCCGTGCTGCGCAGCTTCCTGGGAGACCAAAGAGGCCTGAACTGCACGCGGGGCAGCCTGTTCCCAGGGGAACAGCAGGGCAGTGCCATTTCGCAGGAGTCTGCGTATAGAGCCTGCGTCCTTTCCCAGACAAGCCTCAGAAAGTCAGGGCTAGACCGCCTGCTTCCTTATGTCCCGACAGAGGAAGCAGCGCCGGCCAGGCTCCCAGTTCTGACCCAAACACACCGTTAGGCCGTGCTGACCCCCCAGAATGTCTGCACCCCTATTTCACAGCCTCTGGTTATTGCTTGCCAAGGCCACTCAGGGGGGAATGACGTGGCTTAGAAGGGGTTTCCAAGGGACAGAGTGAGGAGGGCACAACTGAAATTCGGGGGCTGCCACAGGCACAGGCTGCAGCACTGGTTACCGCTGAGGACACGCGTAATCTCAGCAAAGACCCACGATCCTGCACCCGTCCAACCGGAGGCTGTGAGCCCAGGACGCTGCTCTGACCCCGCTCTCCCTGTCGCCCGATAACAGAACGCGTAGACTGAACCGGCTCCACGCTGTCGGGCTGGTCCCACAGCAGGGGTTTCCTCGAGGGCGAGCTGGCGATAGGGAGAGACCTGCAGGTGATGGCAGATGTTCTGGGTCCAGCCCTGGGGAATCCATTCGAAGGAGAACCAGTTGGACATGTTTATACCGGGTGTTATCCTCATGTTTAAGGTCCAATTGTGGCAGATCCTCAGGGCGCCCCTGCGCTCCGAGAGGCTTAGGCCACGTTTAAGGCCCTGCAACACTGTGGCCATGCAGACACGTGCCCCACAAGCCACGCGACATCCGGCAAGGCTCCACGCCACCCTGACGTTGGCCTGTGGGTTTAATGAATGAAACACTGCGAGAGCAGCACTGCTTTCCCTCGGCCGTTCCAGGAAGTGCCGGCGCGGCGTCCCATCACGTGAATACAGTGTGTATTTCCACAGCAAGGACCACAGCACAGCCACTGAAATCAGGAAACTAGCGTGGCCTGGTGGTTACCACCGTGTCACTCAGGACCCCATTTAAGTTTTACTGATAAGTGCTTCAGCTCTAAAATAGAAAACTTGTTATCTCAGTGCCCGTCGCTGCCAGAGTCCTCGCCGATGCCCAGCCACTGAACCCTGACGTCCACCGGGTAGTGAAAGCCTCCATTTCAGCGGAAGCCCCATCTCTGTCTCCTCCCCGTGACTAGCAGTGCGTCCTGGGGAAGCCACTCAGCCCCTCCGAAGTCCATCCTAGCATCCACGGGCCTCCAGAGCCGTGTGAATGTCCCCACGGGACCACCCCTCCTCGTCCAAAGGCTTTAGCTCAAGCCAGTGCAGGGCAAGGGCCGGGTGACAGTGGTCAGCGGTGAGGAGTCTGGCTCGGAGCCACAGAGGGGGTCCTCACCCCTGCGGGGTTCTCACTGCCTTAGGTGTGTCACACGGGACAAGTGCTCCAGCAGCAAACCGGGCGGCTCACTCCCTCCGGCTCCGACGCCTAAGGATGTGCTTCGCACGGGTCGTGCGCCTGGGAGCAGAGGCGACAGGTGGAAGTGTGCCGTTCTGTGTAACCGGGTCAGCACCTGGGCTGAGCCACGGGGAAGAGTTAACCTTTGGGGTTGTGGGTTCCAGCTGTTACCATGAAGTGATACAAAAACTGCTCTCCATTAGCCTGAAGGAACGGCTGTGAAAAGACCTCCGGGCCCTTCCTCACACCTGAGGACACAGCGCAGCGCCGTGAAACGTCGGCCGTGACTGCATAAACCAGGCTCCGCACGCGAGCTGAGAGCTGCAGCCGGACCCTCCGCACACCAGCCTCCGTTACCCACGGAGAAGCTCTGACTGTTGGTGACCTCAGGTGGGTACGAGAGGAGACCCAGAGTACGTGAATGCCTTGCCTGTGTGCAAACAAGAACTCAGATTGTTTTATTTGATTAAAAATTATTAAAAGAAAAGGAAGAAAGGTCACCCTTCCCTAACAGATCTTCTTGTCAAAGGTGCTGCTTGCTCAAAGCCGCTCTAACCAGCATGACAGGGGATGACGTTAACTTCCTACCAGCTTCCACACACCTGGTGGGGACAGGCAAGCAGGCGAGACCTGGACAGAGTTAGTGACCGGCAATTACAGACATAAACCGCAGTTATGGCACCGTGACTGCTGGCCAGTCCGGCGCTATTGTTCCAAGCCAGGCATCTGCCAGGGACTCAGCCTGGGTTTCGGAAGCAGGCAGGTTTCCACAGCAGGGAAAACTACCAATGTGAGGCCACCACGAGGAGCTACCGGAAGCTCAGCGATGCAGTGTCGTTTCTGTCGTCCTCGCCCTTCTAACACACAGAGGAGATAGTCTCTGACTGCACCATCGAGCTGAACGCACTGTCACTGACAGCACCCGGAGACAGCCAGGAAGCAGGCGGCCATGGGCACTTTAGCTCCCATCTCTTCCAGCAAAGAGACCCCTGGGAGGCAGGAGGGGGTGCCCCCTTCAGTGCCTTGTCCCGTCCGGCTGTGGAGACAAAGGAGGTCTCTCTCTGCCACAAGAATTCTTGTCCGGGTGCCTCCTGCTCCCTGATACTGCTCAAAGGCAGGGAAATGCCGGGGTGCCTCCTGCTCCCTGATACTGCTCGAGGGCAGGGAAATGTCGGGGTGCCTCCTGCTCTCTCATACTGCTCGAGGGCAGGCAAATGTCGGGGTGCCCCTTGCTCCCTGATACTGCTTAATGGCAGGGAAAAACTCATGCCGAGGCAACAAGATCTTTGCCCAACAAAAGCAGGGTTCTGAGAGCATGATGGATCCATCCAAACAGAAAGACATAGGACAAGGAGAGCAGTGCTCTGCGGGGTGGAAACAGCGACCTCAGACTCTGCGTGTCACCTGGTGCTAACAGGTACGGGTGCTGCAGATACAATGTCACGTGTACTTTCACAATATATTCTGCTGGGGACCAACGCGTCCAAGGCCACGTGTGCCTGTGGGGACAGCCTGCCGAGAGCTCTCCCTCCACAGAAGGGCACCCCCACTTGGCACAGCTCTCAAGGGCTGATGAGCCCCAGGAGAAAGCAAAAAGCAAGCTCTGAATCTATTTAAGGAAGAGCTTTCTAACAATCTGTGTTCTCCAAAAATGGAACTGGATGACTTTGAAGCAGTGTTCCAGCAGAGCTGGGTGGCCATCTGTCGGGGTGGGGCTGCGGGCCCAGCCCCAGCCCCAGCCCCAGCCCCAGCCCCAGCCCCAGCCCCAGCCCCTGCCCCAGCCCCAGCCCCAGCCCCAGCCCCAGCCCCAGCCCCAGCCCCAGGGCTGGCTGGGGTGCCAGCCTCCTCCGCAGCACACTAGCTCGCTCCACTGGTCACAGCTCTGATCACGGCTCGTGAAAAACTAAACACTGGGCAAAAGCTGTGGTTAATAGTTTCCATTTGAAGCTCTGTCTTCTCCTACAAACTGAAGGAAAAAATAACAAGGATTCAAGGGAATTTCTAGATAATTCAGAAGGCTTCCTTTGCCTTATTTTACTTCCTGGCATTTCGTTCCATTTCTGGGCATTTCATTCTGCGCTAGAATCTTTTTCTTTCTTTCTTTTTTAAGTTTAATATATTTTATTGATTTCAGAGAGGAAGAGAGAGGGAGAGATAGAAACATCAATGATGAGAGATAATCATTGATCGCTGCCTCCTGCACACCCCCTACTGGGGATCAAGCCCGTCACCCAGGCATGTGCCCTGATGGGGAATCAAACTGTGACCTCCTGGTTCATAGGTTGATGCTCAACCACTGAGCCACGCCGGCCTAGCTCTGCACTAGAATCTTGAGAATATATATATTTTTAAAATGGATAAGAAGGAAGACAAAACAAGTCTACAATGTTTAGTAGATCCAAAAAAAAAATTTTTTAAAGGCACTTTGGTAGGTGAAAAGCTGAAATTGGAAAAAATAAATAAAATTAAGCTCAGGCACTTTTAAAGTTTTTACCTATTCGTGCAGCCTACATTTCTTTAATTAAAAGTTATAAGCATAGGACAACAATGTTTCTTTCCAGTGCCTTGCTTGGAGAACAAAGACAAAGGGCTGTCAGTTTAGTGGGAGAGAATCAGATTGCTCATGAAAAAAGGGGTTTCTCTATCAGCCTCAGAATCTCAGACAGCTGGCGAGCTGGTGTGACCCACACAGGCCCGCGTTCCGCTTCTCGCTCCAGTCCCGGGCATAACCTAATCCACAGCACAAAACACTGCCCGTTAATGCAGGCTTTGCACAGTTTTGAAGAATGAGACTTTTCAAGATTGCATAAAATAAAGACAAATATTTTGCAATACCCACTGCATTCTGTGTATAATGCTCAGTTTTTCCACCTGTCACCCTCTCCCCTAAATGAAAAAAATATGCTCTTGTTAGAGATAAAAAGGAAAAACTCAAGTAAACATAGCACGGGTGGTAATACTGACTTATTTCAACAGCACAGGCTCCAGCGATGACCAGCAGCCTCAGACACAGCCACCTGGGATCACGGGAGGAGGCAACGATCACTTTGTCTAACGGCAGGTCAGTTCACTTATTCTCAGAAAGGCCCTCAAAGATACTTTTTCACATAATCTGAAGCAATAACCACTGCAAGCAAGCCTGATATGCATACAGAATACAAAGGCAAGGCTGGTCCCTTCACTTCAGGTGATTCAAGGTGGTCCCTCCCATCTCCGACCCCGAGAAGAGACAGGATGCGGGGAGAAAGCTGGCCGACGCCACCAGAGCTGAGCCCCAGCAGTCCCCACCTGGGTGACCCCGATGGCCTGGGACATCACAGTGGTGCTCGCCCCGTTGCCGACTGAGCTAAACTGCCCAGGACTGTGGGTGAAAGGCACCCGTGTCCAAGGTGCTCCTCCCCGCTCCTCCCCTGTGCACAGCGCGGATGGACAGGCTCGTCAGGGAGGAGATCTGTGCGGCGACAGCAGAGCGGGCACTTCCGGGGGAGGGACGGCCCTCCAGGCCCGCCCGCAGGTGGGAGCCAGAGGGGAGCAGGGGGTGCAGCTTACACCCGACTCCACACTCGGGAATCTCACGGAAATGACAAACGTGCTACCTCTCCATCCGGTCTCTTCTTTCTCGGAGATTTAAACAAAGACAACTAGAATGATGTCAACATTTAAAACAAACTTTTTTTTTTTTTTTAAACACAAATGATGAACACTCTCTCCTCAAAGAGCACCACCGGGCTTCCCCGCTCTACCCTGGGTCCCGGGCCGCGAGCACTCACCCAGCGTGTCCTTCAGGTTCTTGACCAGGGAGCCCTTCTTCAGGCTGTTCTTCCTCTCCACGTAGTTGGACGGCACGTAGCCCGTCCTGTTGGCGGCGTTGCGCACCCGCCACCATGTCTTGGAGTCGTCCAGCAGCCACAGGCGCTCGTTCTTCTTGATGTCCAGCTCCTGGTCCTGCTGGGCCGTGTAGTCCCACTTGGCGATCACGATGACCTCCTCTGTCATCTTTCATGTGGTCCCCCTGCGGCAGAACAGCGCGTCAGAGACCAACCGGACACTTTCCCAGCATCAGCACTCAGCCCTAACACGGCCTTCCTTCCATAGCTTCGGGCTTCTGTCTGGAACCAGCAGCCTTAAAACCAGACCTTGACTTGGGACCCTGGGACTCCTGCGCACTTTGCCAAAGACAAAAACAGATCCCCAAAATGTTCTAAGCAACGATTTCATAACTAATATGTTCATCTGATTAAGCACCAGCTCCTATACCTGATGCTTATGTCCCCTGCCTTAGTATATGCTGAATTTTATGAATATATTTAATAAAACACACACTCGAGCTCTTCCTATAAACTAAAATGAAAATAAACGTGGTACTAATGCACCGTGGTTCCTGCACCGGATCCTGAAACAGAAAAGAAAAGGAGGGAAACCCTGGTGACATTCAGATGAAGTCCAGTTACCGGGGGTGTGCCAATGTCACTTGCTTAGCTCTGCCAGGTGTGCCATGGCCAGGTGTGCCGTGGGTACAGAAGATGTTAATACCAGGAGAGCTGGCGGAAGGGGACAGGTACACAGGAATGCTTTGCACTACCTTTGCGACTTTTTTATAAACATGAAATTATTCTTGAAACCTGCACATGGATGTCTATAGCAGCTTTGTTCATAATCACCAATGTTTGGAAGCAATCAAGGTGTCCTTCAGTAGATGAACCGATAAATAAACGGTGGTCCATCCAGCTAACAGAATAATACTCAGCGATAAAAAGAAACGAGCTACCGAGCCCTGGAAACACATGGAGAAGCCTTCGACGGTGTTACTAAGTGAAAGAAACCACCCGGGAGGCCACACCAGGTCTCTCCCCCACAGAGGCTCCTTTTACCAAATTCAGCCAGGCTCCTCTGGATCCCCTTCCCCAACCAGCCGCGACTCGTACTTCCAGATGCATCTTTGCGTTGCTCAGTTTTAACAAGAATCAGCCTACGCGGGTTTAGCCAGAATCCGCCCCCTCAGCCAGCTTCAGCCTGACCACCCGGCCGCCTTCAGGAAAAGTCCCGCTGGTCCGTTCAACCAGGTGCCCTTTCCTCTCCCCGGGGCTGTGAACGCCCCTCTCCCACCTACTCCAGGCTGCAGGCTCCCCTTCTCCTTCCTGGGTCGGGAGTTGAGTTCAGTCCCCCCACACCCCACCTGCCAAACTCCCATGCAGTAGCCCCTGCATAGTACGCCCTGCAGTGCTTTACAAGTGCCATGACTAACTTTTCCTCCAACAATTCCAACTGCAGGCGGGCGGGGTGGGGACTGGCAGAGCACAGAGACCTGGCTCAGGGAAACAACTCCCCCCGATACTCCAAGTCCCATAAAATGCGCAACACCAAGAGTGAGCTGTGTACACACGATTCCAAAGTAAAAGGTGAATTAACAGCCACGAATACACAGAGCAGTAAAGTCCATTCTGAAAGTAAGAAGAGCAATGGGACACCTGCATGACTAAGATGAGTGTAAGCATCAACTGTTTCAGCAGCACCACACTTCTCAGGTACAATGCGGGCCAGTTGTTTTTCAGCAAGAAAATTCAATATGCAGTCCTTCAACTGACTAGAAAGCGTCAGCCTGCGGACTGAAAGGTCCCAGGTTCGATTCCGGTCAAGGGCATGTACCTTGGTTGCGGGCACATCCCCAGTGGGAGGTGTGCGGGAGGCAGCTGGTCGATGTTTCTCTCTCATCGATGTTTCTGACTCTCTATCTCTCTCCCTTCCTCTCTGTAAAAAATCAATAAAAATATATTTAAAAAAAAAAAAAAAATTCAATATGCAGTCCTTCAACTGACTAGAAGTTCCCTCAAAACTAGAAAGAAAGAAATAGTGGGAAGACCACTAACTAAAACCCTGTTCCTCTCTGACAAAAAGGAGTTCCCGTTATAGGGAGGCAACCTGTGCACTTTGATGCATCGGAGGCATGAAGACGATGTTAGATAACACGACGCTTTCTACCAGATGCTGTAGAAGTTTACAAGGAATGCACAGTCTCCTCTGTTATAAATAAAGTTCAAAACTTAGAGATAATAAACCTTTTGGGAAGGAGGCAATCCTATGTAATAAAAGGCTAATATGCAAATCGACTGAACAGCAGAGCGACAGGTTGCTATGATGCGCAATGACAGCCAGGGGGCAGACGCTCAATGCAGGAGCTGCCCCCATGGTCAGTGCGCTCCCACAGGGCGAGTGCTGCTCAGCCAGAAGCTGGGCTCAGCAGCGAGTGCAGTGGCGGTAGCCTCTCCTGCCTCCGCGGCAGCGCTAAGGATGTCTGACTGAGGGCTTAGGGGCCTAAGCTGTCAGCCAGACATCCCCTGAGGACTCCTGGACTGCGAGAGGGCACAGGTGCATGAATCTCGTGCACTGGGCCTCTAGTGTTTAATAAAATGTATGCATAATGTACACCAACCAACAGGACGGAGCTCGCACCATGCTCGTGTCCTTTAGGCAGACAACTCTGACTTGCTTCTGGAGCCCAAGCCCACCGCTGTCTCCATCATGACCCGGCTTCCTGTCGGTTTAGATTTTGAAAGTCATAAGGTAGTTTTGTTTGTTTTTGTCTTTTAATAATAATGAGAGCAATAATAGGAATGGGACTCAGAGAATATCCCATTTAAATCAGGTTTTTTCTTAACTCCACAATTTTCAGAAGAGTTTTTAACAAGAAAAGCACAGCGCTTAAGACCAATCAAAGGAACGTGTTCATCTCCTGCAAGACTTTGGGTGCGGAGCTGGCTTGCGTGGCCACTGCAGTGCACCGGGGACATCATACGGGAGCTTGAAGAATGCGGGTGCCTGGGCTCCCCCAGAGCAACGAGCAGCACCTCCAGGAGCGAGCCTGCGCTCGGATGTTACAACCCCGTAACCCTGACGGCCGGAGCAGGGACCTGAGTCACGGGCTGCATGCCTGGTCACCAGACCCGGGGCTGGAATGACCCCTCAAATGTCCGGTTTACAAAAGTAAATGTGAGCGTAAGCCGGAACCTGACACACATGAACTCAGTCACTTAGTCAACACAACTCCCCGTTTCGGAGGGTGGGGGTGCCCTTCAGGAGACAGGGTCACAGAGACTGAGTGACTTGTTAAATGAGAGTCAGGGCTGTAGCCCAGGTCCATCGGCTCCCAAACCTGGCTCTGGTGCTCACTCTGGGCGGGTGGGTGGGTGAGGGTCCAATGTGTGGCCTGTGATTTGATAGACTTATTCCAACCCAGGAAACCTAGGATTCTAGGTCAGTGAAAGCACAAAGTTCCTAGGCAACGGCTGGTGCTCCTTAGCTATAGCAGTGGGTTTAACCCTATTCTAGTGGACTTGTGACAGCTTCCAGTCAAAGTAAAAGCTTCAGGGGCCAGCCGATCAACAGCCAGCTCACTGCACTGCATCCGGCCCATCAACAGCCGCCTCACTGCACTGCAGCCGGCCGATCAACAGCCACCTCACTGCACTGCATCCGGCCCATCAACAGCCGCCTCACTGCACTGCAGCCAGCCCATCAAGCGCTTACTCAGCACTGTGGAAGGCTACCATCAACAGCTCTCTCCCCCCATCAGGTCCACCAAATACCACTCGCTCCAGCTCTGCTGACTGTCAGCCAATCACAGCACCCCATTGAAAAATCATGAGGACATGGTTGACGGTCAACCAATCCACGAACACTTTCGCTTCTGAAATTCAACTAATACCTGATCCCACACTTCCCCCAAACCCTTATCGAAGAAGACTGGTTGGAGGCGCGCCCTCCTTGGCCAACCAGGACGCATCACCGTTCTCAGGAGCAGAGCTGTGGCCCAGGACAGCTGCCCCAAGGCTCCTGCTGCCAACGCCAGGCCACTGCCCTCAGGGGCCCGGGCATGTGGGAAAGAAGAGCGTCCGGTGGGAAGGGGGCAAATAAATGCAGGGGCCATGAAGCAGGGGCTGCTGAAGGGCTGCCAAGGTGTAGGCAGGAACCAGGTGGGATCACTAAGCAGAATGGATACAGACTCCTGGGAGTAACTTAAAGAGTAAACAGGCCCTAACTGGTTTGGCTCAGTGGATAGAGTGTCAGCCTGCGGACTCAAGGGTCCCAGGTTCGATTCTGGTCAAGGGCATGTACCTTGGTTGCGGGCACATCCCTACTAGGGAGTGTGCAGGAGGCAGCTGATCGATGTTTCTCTCTCATCGATGTTTCTAGCTCTCTATCCCTCTCCCTTCCTCTCTGTGGAAGATCAGTGGAATATATTTAAAAAAAAAAAAAGAGTAAACAGGATGTATTTCTGGATGTTTCCTCATTAAAGCCATTTCAATGTGCAGTAAAGCACCCCCACCTCGCCCCACACCAGCCCTGCATCCCGGCCAACACTGAGTCCTTCTTCTCGTTGCCAACAGGGCTGGGCAGGCCGGCGGAGGCCCCTCTGGGGCAAGCGTGCAGGTCCCCCCGAGACCTGGGGAACTGCTTCTAGGTCCGATTTTCTTCCTAAACATGATCCTGTGAACTGCATCCGCTGGGTTCCCTGCTCCTCGTGACAGCCTGTGTTCCCACAACATCCAGACACGGTCACAGGCATTTCCACAGAGGTCTCGGGGTCAAGCTGAACCACTCGGCCATAATGGCAAAGAGAGGACCTGAGTCAAGAATCTGGGACTCAACGCTCAGCTGACCCGTGTGTCCACCCTGGACTCCAGCTTCTTCCGGGAAGCGGAATACCGGTCCCCTGCCCAGCCTCCCAGGTGCTCAGGAGACGCGACGACGCAGTATCTCAGAGGGTGGGGCTCAGTGTCACCCGACCCGCCGGACCCGCCAGAGTCCCTGCATCCGGCCTTGGCCCCGCTGCCTCCTCCATAACAGGGGCAGTGACAGCCCTCACGCAGGAGCCAGGAGGAAGCCGTGCACACAGCAGCACAGAGGGCGCAGGGTGGGAGCCACGGTCATTACTGACACCCGCGCTGCAGCAACTGTGCCATGCAGGTGGGCTGTGTCCCATGGTCGTTACCGACACCCGCACTGCAGCA